TAATATATATTTTAAAATAAAAATTTTTATTATAAATAAAGGAAAACTCTCTCTCTTCTAGATATAATGTTGTTCCCCTAAAACCGTCAGACTGCTCTCTAGATGCTAATGTTGATGACACCATGACAAGACGCAGTCAGACTGCTCTCTAGATGCTAATGTTGATGACACCATGACAAGACGCAGTCAGACTGCTCTCTAGATGCTAATGTTGATGACACCATGACCCAAAACGCAGTCAGACTGCTCTCTAGATGCTTAATGTTGCTGACACCATGACAAGACGCAGTCAGACTGCTCTCTAGATGCTAATGTTGCTGACACCATGACAAGACGCAGTCAGACTGCTCTCTAGATGCTAATGTTGCTGACACCATGACAAGACGCAGTCAGACTGCTCTCTAGATGCTAATGTTGCTGACACCATGACAAGACGTAATCAGACAGCTCTCTAGATGCTAATGTTGATGACACCATGACAAGACGTAATCAGACAGCTCTCTAGATGCTAATGTTGCTGACACCATGACAAGACGATCAGACGCTCTCAGACCCATGTTCTGAAACCTACAAATAATCTTTAATGTTTAAAAGGGTTTGAAAACCCCTACCGACTAATCGCCAATCCTTGGCTATGTTGAAGAACCATTTACCGGCGTACCCCAAAAGCTCCCCAGTTAAGTTTGACCCATACCAAGAATTCAGATACTCCTATATTTAATTAATTATATATTTTTATTTTAATAGATATAAAATAGTATTTTAATATTTTTTTAATTGGTGCCAGGGAAAAATCTTTACCGTGTTTACCCCGGGGCTCCTCAGTTACCATTTTAACTTCTTTAATACTCTTAAAAATTTTCATTGTATAACTCCCGGTATATTTTAATTTATATTATTATATTTATATTTAAAATATATATTTTTAAAATATATTTTAATATATTTTTATATATATATTTATATAAGCTTGGTGACAAACTTGGTCGAAAGAATTTTGACGGGCCGTGTGACCTCTCCCGTGTGACCTCTCCCGGTGTAAACCGCTTAAGCCGTGGCCTGGGGTACCCCCTGTAAATTATTTCATTTTATTTTTAAGAAATTTGGGGCCCCCATGAAACGTGAAGATTTTGAGATAAAAATTTAAATTTTTAAATGAACAATGGGGATTGTTTTTTTTTTTGTTTCTTCCCCGGGTTTGAACCGCTGGTAAACCTGAACGGTGACCTGCAGGGGTGCCTGTAGGGGTGCCTTTTTTTGGTGCCCTCCCGGGGGGGCCTGTATGGTGACCTGTTGAGACCGCCCTTTGACCTGAAACGGGGGACGGGGCAAAATTGACCTGCACGGGTGCCTTCACGGTGCCCTTGCATGGTGCCCCTGCCGGGGGCCCTTTGAATAGGGACTTGCACGGGGGCCCTGCACGGTGCCCTGTTTGGGTTTTGATTGCTCGGGGGGCCTTTGCACGGTGGTCTAAAAGTGCCTGCAGGGTTTGGCCTGCGGGTTTGGCCCTTCCTTTTAAACAATTATACTATTACTACCCCTTCTACTATACTATATTTCTATTGAAAATACTACTAATAATAATCTTAAAACAATTTTCGGACAGTAAAAGGGTTTTTAACTGGAAAAGACTCAGCCCAAACGTTAAACCCCAGACCAACTTTTGACTCAGACCAAAAGTTAAATCAGAAAAAACGTTGACTCGGGCCAACGTTGACTCGGGAACAACGTTGACGGGCCCACAAAAAAAATTTAACAATATAATTTTTACAAACCCAATCTTTAAGTCACTTTTATTTTTTTTTGTTATGAAGTCAAAACCCCTTTTTTTGGGGGGGGACTCAGAGCAGGGGGGTGGAGTGGCCTCGACCCCGAGCCCAGTGCCCAAGGGTTTGGTCGTGATCAGTCAGAATGTTTGTAATTTTTAACATGGTTCCCGTGGAAAAATTTGTCAGTAATGATCACACATCTATACTTGTCTGGGGTTTTGAAGGGAAAATATTGTAAAATTTTCTTTTTGTTTGTCTTTTTTTAAAAGGGGCAAATTGTGGGGTTTTTTAACAGTTTGGAAAAAGATTATAATGAAGAATTTTATATAAATTTTATATATATTATTTTTTAATATTTATATATAAAATTTATTATTATATATATTATATTATATATAATATATATATATATTTTTTTTTATATATATGATAGATAATTTCGGGGGAAAAGTGACTCCCAAAACCCCACAACCACATATAAGTAGGTAAAACCCCGGGGGGTTGGAGGGCAAAAATTTAAAAAATTTACCGTTTGTGGGTTTCTGGGTTTTTTCCAACAATATTGTTTAAACTTCACAAAAGTTTTCCAGGGGTCTTATAAAATCGGCAAGGTGAGAGCTGCCACACTCCGGTTTTGGGTGTTTTGAACAAGGGTTTTTGTGGTTAAAAAGTATGAAGACTTACTTCAGGGGAGGGGCATTAGGAGGGGCACCAAGGGGGCACCGGGGATACCAAAGGGTCAACCCGGGGAAACACCGCAGCTACTTGGGGGGTTTAAAAACAGTGGGGGGCATCAGCAGGCTAAGGAGGGGGTCAGGAAATAGTGGAAAACCGTTTAGCGTTCAACAGAAGGGCAGTTCTAAACTGCTCCACCATTTGGGGTCCAAACATCTGATTCACAAAGCCCCAGAACGGTTTCCCCGAGACACATGTTAAATTAAACAATTTTTGGGTTTTAAATTTAAAAAACATTATTTGTCCATTTAAATTTTGGGAAAAATTTAAAATTAAAAAAGTTTTTTTTTTTTGACCCAATTTTTAAATTTAACCCAAAACAATTTGTTTTCTAAAGGCCAAAAGGGGAAAAAAAATTTATTAAAAAAAAATTTTTAAAAGAAGGGAAAATTGTTCTTAATGTTTTGTTCAGTTAAAGTAGTTTTAATTAAAAATTTTTTTTTAAAAACTTTTAAAAACCCCTTTTTTTAACCAGAGAAAAATTTTGGTAAAAATTTTTTTTAATATTTTAACAAGAATTAAAAATGACCCTGAAGTGGAAAGTACCCCATAGGGGAGCGTTTACCCCGGTCCCCCAACCAGCGCCCTCCCGGGGCCCCGTCGGAGCCTCCCCCCAGGGAAAGGGAAAGACCCGCGATCCCTGCAAACCCCACACCAAGTGGGTCAGTGATTCCCCGCAACACACAGAAGTGATCAGTGGGCCCCCGCAACACCCCAGCAAGTGATCTGTGATCCCCCACAAAAACACCAAAAAAGTGATCTGTGATCCCCAAAAAACAGCAAGTGGATTTAGTGATTCCTGCAACCACAGCAAAGTGATCAGGGTTTCCCTTTAAAAAACAGAAGGGGGGATCTGTGGGTCCCTGCAAAAACCAGCAAGGATCTGTGATCCTACCCAAAAACACAGCAAAATGATCTGTGGGTCCCGGGGAACACACAGCAAGTGATCTGTGTCTCTGCAACACACGCAAAAGGGGAAAGTGGAAACCCCCCGCAAAAACACAAAATTTTTGATTCTTGTTTTTATGACCCGAGCTTTGGTTGGGGGGGTAAGGGAAAAGGATGGAAAAAATGGGAAAAAAGGGGGGGGGAAAGGGGGGAGAGGGGTAGGTTTTTAATAAAAGGGGAAGGGCCCAAACCACTTTGGTTGTAATATAAAAAAAAATTTTTATGTGAATTGATAAGATATTCTTGAAAGAGGGATAAAAACTAAACCCTCAGAGTCAATAGGTTTAACAGATTTTTCAGTAATGACTCTGAATTTTGGTTTGGGAATTTTCTAGTTGTAATTGGGGTTTTTTTTCCCCGATTGCACAAAAAGGGGTATTTATGGACAATGAAGGAAAAAAAATTTTTTTGGGGAAATTTATAGAATTCCGTGACAAGGCTTCTTACAGGTGGGGTCCAGCCTAGTAAAAAGGGATAATTTTTTTAAATTTGTTGGGGGTTATAAGGTTTTTTTCCCTAATTGGGGGCGATGATTTTTCCCCAGTAAACATAGAAGGGTTCTGGTGTTTTCCCAATTTTTCTTCATAAGGGGGGTTGTCAATTTCATGGGTCGATTTGGAATCAGCTTTATGTATAAAAAAGCGGAACCCCCTTGGGGGGAGTCATTTTTGGTCCCGTGAGGGGAGTATTGTGATATAAAACCGGGGGGTATTTACCACTTGTATAGGATGTTTTCTACTGGCATGTATTGTTCTTTTCATTGGGATAGAGTTATTTCTTTTTTTTGGGTGTCGAGGCGTAATTTATGGCCCGTAATATCTTGTTGTATGTGTAAAACCCGCCATTTTTAAACCCGTCTTCCTCCTTTTGGTTAAAGGGTATGGGGGGAGAGCTCTATTCCCGGGACCCTTTGTAACCGTAGCATATTGGTCTTTGCTGTTAATGACATTGGGACACAAGGGTATTCGAGTATAGGTCGTATTAACATTACACACAACAAGTGATCTGTGATCCCTGCAACACAGTGACCCCTGCAACACACAGCAAATGATCAGTGATCCCTGTAACACAGTGATCCCTGTAACACAGTGATCCCTATAACACACAGCAAGTGATCTGTGATCCCTGTAATACAGTGACCCCTGCAACACACAGCAAATGATCAGCTATCCCTGTAACACAGTGATCCCTGTAACACAGTGATCCCTGTAAAACAATGATCATTGTAACACAGTGATCCCTGTAACACAGTGATTCCTGTAACACAGTGATCCCTGCAACACACAGCAAGTGAACAGTAATCCCTGCAACATACAGAAAGTGATCAGGGATCTCTGCAACACACAACAAGTGAACAGTAATCTCTGCAACACACAGCAAGTGAACTGTGATCCCTACAACACACAGCAAGTGATCAATGCTCCCTGCAACACACAACAAATGATTAGCGATCTCTGCAACACATTGACACTTGATTCTGCAACACAGAAATCAGCGATCCTTGCAACACCTTAGAAGTTCTTTTACAGGTATATACACTAGTCTTACCTTCCTGGTGCAGGTAGAGGTATATAGCTCTCAGTTGTTCAATGTCAGTAACAGCAGCCAGCTCCCCTGAGAAGCCATGACAAGCCTGACGTGACTCCTCCCACGACTCTTCCGCCCACGTCATGAAGGAGAGACAGAGGCCGCCCACACTTGTATAGGTTAAGGGACAGTCCTGCACCTCTGGCATTGCTGTTACTGCTGTCATGTTGTGGCAATTTATACATATAAACATAAGTTGACATGAAGCTTATAAAACTCATGCATTATATGTTTTCACATACAGTTAACACTTAATTCAAACCAAACAACTACCTGTGTCATTTCCCAGTGCTTGTTCACATATCGCAGTCAGGAGGTTAGTGCATCTTACATCGTTCATGTAAAATAATGCTGCATCATACATCTCCAAGCAGTTTTCAATATCATATCCGTTATTAGGCTCTTGAAATACAAGGTTTGCACTCCAGAATGGTGTACCCATAGGTACAGACAGACCCGAGGAAGTGCGCCAGTCTCCCTCAGTGGCTTGGTCACTCCGTCAATCCAATACTTTCTTCCAGTCAGATCTGAGGTGGTACACACATTTAGTGTTCATAGGAGCTAGAGATGAGTGACTTTATAAACAGACTTTCAGGATCTCATATGGTACTGCAGAGGTATTGCTTCTGGTTGGCGAAGACTATATATAGACTTTCAAAGGGCACGAAGGACCTGTTATTGTTATTATAGATTTTATATTAAAAACAAGCGGTAAACCACTATGGGTTATAATTTCATATACCACAGAATAAGTTAGACTATAAGTGAAAGTGGAGCAATACTTACCATTGTCATTAATGTAGTCAATAATGTTCTTCAAGCGTGTGGCTGTGAGGACAGCTGCCAGTTCCCCGTTCAGTGAGTGACACAGTTGACGAGCATCTTGGTAGCTAAGCTCGGCGAAGGTGGCGAAGAAGAGGCATTGGTCGCCCACGGTAAAGTAGGGCTCCAAACATCCTTCACTAACGATGCTCGCGGCTTCACTATCGTCTTTGTGTACGCTAGAATGTTGGATCATGGACAGCTGCTCAACCTTAAACCCGCTCACTGTTGTTGAGATAATTATTCTAGTACACTGGGAAATTGTAAGATTGTCTATTATCACACACATACACAACCCATACAAACACACCCCCCACAACAAACCCACCCACACCCACCAAAAAACCCCAC